ACGCGTCTCGCGAATCGAGAGCCAAAACGGAAGACAGACTTATCGCTTCGATTCAGACGCACCGGTTTACGTAATAAAAGAGAAAGGCGATCACCGCGTGTAACCGCGGTTCAAACCTATCGCAATCGCGATCATCCTTTCCCCGATGTACCTGTTTTTTCGAAAGCCAGTCCCAAGTAAACAGTCTGCGTTTTCTTCTCCAGCGTTTGTTTGCTTTTCCTCTCGGATACAAGGCGATTATAGCCTAAGCAGATAAGCAACAGGGAACGTGCAGGAGGTGGTAGCGCGGCGCAAGTCCGCGATGACTCTCTTTATCTCGTGCCCTCGTCGTTCCTTCGTCGCCCCTCTTTAATTCACAGCCGGCCACGGCCATAATTCGCGTTTTACCTCACGGTGTTTATGTACTTTTAATAATGCCTGATATCTCGTCGAGGCGCTGCTCGATTCCTCGCCGGATACCCCGACCACCCTTCCTCGCCCCTCTACCAGTCCCGAGCACCCTGCTGAGCGCCCATGCGTGCTCCACCTCGCCGGAGAAACTTTCGACCGCGCGGAGAGCGAAGAAGCTCGCGATATCTGCCCAGCCGCCTTTCTCGGCCGCCTCGGCGAGGCTACTTTAGACACTTTTCCAGGTTAACGCAAACGCTCCTCGGTTGCGAGAAGAATCCCGCTTTCACCGCCCTGGCTTCCGTGTGCGTGCCTCGTCCTTAACGGAAGCTAGACTCTCCTCGGCGAGAGTTTCAAAGTGACGATAATGAAATTAAAGCGAGCAGAAGCGACGGGTAAGTGTTGTCCGAGCGAGAAGCTAGGAGGAGGCGCAATACTTGCCCGGTCGTGGGCCGCTCCTTCATCTTTCGCTCGTCCCAACCTCCCGGCGCGGTCTCTCTCGATTTCTGCGGCGCGTTCGCCGTCACCGCCACCCTCCGGCACATGTTAACAGCACTTTAAAGTTTTATTAATAAGGATAAATCAGAGGCGCCCCGCGGATGAAGTTGTCGGTGCCACGGTCCAGCGCGTATAATCTGGCATCGGAAACACAGCGGAGTCGGGCGCGGAGAGGAGGGAGCCGAGGGCAGAGAGGGCTCGGCAACACGTCGGTTTACGACCATTGCCCACAATGTCGTGTGCTCGCAACGCGACCGCACAGAGATATTTATCGTCCCGCTGCCTCTGCCCCTGCACGCTCGTCGTTCCGCTCCTCCTTTACGGGACGCGATTTCCACCGCTTCGAACTCGCAACTTTCGATCGTTTCGTCGAGTGAAAAACTTCAGAAACGATCTACCGTCACGGAAAATGTATTTCGTTTCCCCCGTTACGTGGAAGAGGGAAAGGAAAAAAGAAAATCCGCATGAACAGGGCGCGGTCTGGTTCTCGCGGTGGCGAAACATCCAGCACGAGTTCCTTACGGGTTTGAAACGAGCGCTTAGCTGCCGGCTACGTTCCCCCGTAGAGTGGCACAGGCCGATAAAACGAAATTCCTGCGAGGCCGCAGAAAAATTCTTTCGAATAAATTCACCGATATTATGCGGCCGATAATTACGACACGCCTCGGCCGCGCTCAAGTCCGAAGCCGAAGGGGGGAATTACGAGTGGCCCGCGACGCTAATTTCCGTCCCTCCGTCCCCCCGTTCTACGCCGAAACGCGCTTAACTGATTTTCCACGACCCACGTAACTCTTGCCCCGATCTGCCTCGGTCTGCCGCGATAACGATCGAAGGGGAGGCTCGTTTCCCGCTTTCGTTTCAACTTGGAATCGGTGAAGCGGCGAGAGTGCATCGCGAGGAAACGCGAACGAACGGTGGAACGCGGAAGACCGGCAACCGCTAACCGCTAACCGCTTCTAAACGCTCGGAGAATCGACGAGAATTAGCGCTGGTCGAGTGACCCTTGGGCTGGCCGTTTGCGAGCGCGAACGTCGAACAATGCGAGAGACGAAATTAAACGAAGGTAATTCCGGTGAGAAGCGGAGGACGGAGACGACGAAAGCTTATCCGGAGCGCATTCCGAGCGAAAATTACTCTGCCCGCCCCTCTTCTTTTCGAGGGGAAGAAAAAAAAAAGGAGCAACACTCGGCTAATTACGCAAGACCAGTATGCCTGCGTGCGAGAGAAGGAGAGGGGAGGCCGAAGAAATTCCAAGAAGCTGGAAGAACCGTAAAGATTTCAACGACCTCCTCCACCTACCTCCTCGCCGCGGCCCTTCGTCCTTCGGCTGGAGAAAAGGGCGCGGAAGAGGAAAAGGGGGGGAGGGAGGATTGGAGGACATCGAAGGAGTATCTTTTCGAAGAACAGCCGAGGGAGGAGGAGGAGGAGGAGGAAGAAGTCGCGGTGGCGAAGAGACGTCGCGGCCGGTGGCCCGCGCGTCCGGTAGAAACGGTAAACGGTGCACCGGCTTAAGGCCCGTGGAATTATCCTCCTGTAAACACCTACCTAATTAAGATTGGAACATTTTAACGTCCTGCTTGGGGACCCCAATAAACCGCCTAACGTACAGCCAGTTTGTTAGGCGCTTATGGGATCGTTTAATTAATATTGGCGTCGGACCAGCGCGGCCGGCTCGAACGACCGACCACCTCCGGCGCCACCATGTCTTGCCCCTGAACACTTGCAACTTGCACCGTTCTAACGCGTACGAGGACCTGCTTCCACCTTTCCTCCTTCCTCTCTCTTTCTCTCTCTCTCTCTCTCTCTCTCTCTCTCGTTCGCCTCTTCTCCGCTTTATTTTCGCCGATTCGTTCGACCGCTTTTTCCACCAATTACCGGCGTGTCTCAACGGTCTCCTTGAAAAAAAGCTCGACGAACGCGCGTGGCTGTCTCCACCGGCAACTTTCGACCGAGAACAGTCCAGTCACGCAGCTTCGTCTTATCGTCGTCGCTTCCATTCTCGCGGTTCGAACAGGCACGCAAACTGCCAGGACCTCGACGAATGTGGAGCAGAGAAGGGGGAGGACGGAGAAGAAGAGTGGAGAACAAGCGACGGCGCACGGCACTCCGGCTCTCCCTGGACAGAGAGGGCGAGCAGGACGATTAATCACGGTCGCGTTTTGCGGTTTTGTCGCGCGTCACGACCCACGTGCGTTCCCCGGGCCCCATTGTTCCGTGTCTAATCGTTCCAGGAACGGTGCCGGACGATCGTTCCTCGTGGGAGAGTTTCTACTCGCGCGTGCTCGCTCCATTCACTCTGTCCCGAACGCGTACGGCCCGCGTCTCATTTTTCCACTCGTTTTACGAGCCTCCCGATCCTCTCCGCGCTCCTCGTCGCTTCGCTCGATTGAAAATCGAACCACGTCCAACCATTCTTATCCGCTTCTCGGCACGATCCGCGACCCAAGAAATTAATAAACGCCCGCGAGCTCGCGTACGCGCCCGGTAATCGGCAGATCGAGCCGAGCCGTCCTTCCTGGCAGGCGATGTTTTCATTAAGCCGTAATAACCGCCACGGATCGGCTCTGTCGGGCGAAATTGAATTACCACCGGAAGATCTCGACACCGGTTAAGCCTCGAGGAGGAGTGCGAAGAGGAGGGGGGAGACGGGACGAAAATGGCGCGTCCCGAAGCGACGAGTTACGGGCCGGGTTTGTGGTACGCGCACGGTACACGTCCGGAACGAATTTCGGGGGGCCACTTTACCCTCATAGGGGAACGTCCACGGCAGCCGAAAATTACCCTGGTCGGACCACCCAGTCGGTCCAAAGCAGACCAATCTCCTGGCCACGGGCTAATCGAGTCGAGACGCGCGGTCCGCTCGAGCGCAGCTGGTGGGGCTAATTGCACCTCACCACCTTCCTACCCTCCGGAGAGCTCGACCTCTCTATTAACGGAGATTCTTCTGCCGGCCGCGTCACGTATTAAAGTCGAGGGTGTAGGCGCAATCGGAAATTTTTTACTTAACCCCTCACAACGAGTTTCCACCCTCCGTTCATCCTTGAACTCGTGTTCCTTTCCCGTGTTGTTTGTGGGCCTAACTTCTTACCTTTTATATCCGAATTTGCGCGTACGTGTAAATTTTATTGCTCGAAAATCCTCGTGGCCGAAGCGAAGGGATTAAGAGGAAAACGATACCTACACGTGGGAGCTACGGAATGGGATAGCGAAGAGAGGGCACAATAGCGGACGCGCTAATTTTCACGTCCAACAAACGGACACGGGCCATCGATGGAGGAGAGGAGCGCGCGTCGAGGGGGGAGAAAACAGAGATTTCTCTTCGTCGAGTTTATGGCTTCCGCTATCGCCGAAACGTGGCGAGCGCGTCACGATACGGCGCGAGCCTTCTTCCCCGGCTTTATGGTTACGCGAAATTCCTCTCTCCAGTCTCTTCGCCGTAAAACTATTTTATAGGAGATGTAGACACCGGTTGTTTATTGCTCGCGCGACCTCTCCCGTGTACAAGGTCGAATTACAGCTAAAAGCCTGTGTTCTACAAGACGCGATAATATACGAGGCTTCCTCCTCGCCGATTTCCACCTTCCTTTTTTCTTTCATCTTCGAATTGGTTACGAAATGTTCGACTTACCTGCGAGAGAAAAGCTTCGCCTTGGGCATTCCACGGTCCTTGCGCGTTCGGTGACGCGATGGTTTGTACCGGAAGTAACCTTACGAGAATTCGCCGGAGGATACACGTTTTTATTCGCATTTCACGCTGCACAGTATAAAGTTTCAGTCTTATGTACAAAAAAAAAAAAGAAAAGAAAAGAAAAAAGAAAGAAAAACACGGAGAACGCAAGCGCTGAGGGAGAGGAAAGAGGATAAGGGACGACTCGTGGTCGCAAAAGCGGGAGAAGCTAGGATCGTTTCGAACAGAGAGAGAGAGAGAGAGAGAGAGAGAGAGAAAGAGAGAGAGCTGGAGATACCTGGAAAGCTTGGAACGAAAGGATGCAAAACTGACGCTCGTTGTTTAAACGACTAACTCTCCTCGAGACACGACACTCGCGGCCAGAAAACTACAACTTGACAGCACGACGTGTATATTACAAAGAAATGCTTATCCTATCGTGGACTGGTTAGCGACAAGTATTGATGGTTTTCTTAACGAGACAAGTTTTGCAGGTAACCTCGCAACACCAACGGAACCTGCACTCGCAATTGGTCTTCTCTTTGACGATCCTGGTGTCGTAGCCTCTGCCGCAACAGAGCAACTCGCAGCCGTCCACTCCCTGACTGGTGGAGTTGCATCGACGTCCCTGCGTGCCCAGCGATCCCGTTTTTCTGTTCGGCTTGCAGAAGTCAGGCGAGTCCTCGCTGTAAATCAGATCGAATCTGTCCGGCGGCTTGATGGTCGGCCCCTCGGTGATGAAGCTGTGCCCGTCGTTGCTCGGTATCACCTTGGCCGCGCCGTCGAACGACTCTTTCAGCCTGTTCCCGACGTCACGGAACGGTGGCATTTTCCGCCAGCAGGTGCGCACCGTGCACGATCCCGAGAGACCGTGGCACTTGCACTCGGTCCTCATAAAGTCCCTGATCGCCTGTAACCGCGTCGATGGAAAAAGGGGGGAAAAAGAACGTTCCCGATTACGCCGATTTGTTTTCACCGCTACGAGAGATAACAACTGTGCCTACCAGACGACCAGCGTTATTGTTGTGCAGCTTCACCAGGGTCTTGATGTCGCTGCGTTTGCGATAAGGAGCGTCCATGAAGTCCCGCGACTTCTTGAAGCCAAACTTCACGTTATCGCCGCAACCTCCCCATTCCCAGTCACCCTCGGTCGGCAGGCTCTTCTCCATTTCGACAGTCCGGGGGAACTTACCGAGGCGATTACCTGCGCAATTCGCGTAATTCGCCAGCGAACGGGGACGAGTTTGAATGTTTCACTCACCTTTCGACGTCATCTTGTCGCAGGAACACTCGACGAGATGGCCCATGGTGCAAGCTCTGGTGACCGCGTAGGTGACTCCAGCCGCGGTGATGGCGTTCGCGAATCCCGTTTCCCTGGTATCTGCGAGGATTGGAAAATCGATTAGCTCTCTAGGCTCCGTCTATCCCCTCCCGCTCGGTTCGGAATCAGACCGAGTCGAAGGAAATGGGATTATATTCGAGGCGGAGGAATTAGGACGGGAGGATGAGCCAATTAATCGAGGAGCCGATGGTGAATGGGTATAAACGAACGGGAACGGAACGGAACGCCTTCGGTGGAGGAGGTCTGAAATAAAGGTCGCGGATACTTTTCGACGAAGGCAAGAAAGAGCGTCCTCGAAGCGGAAGGATTTCAGGAGCAGGATGAAGTTGGTCGCGACAGCCTGGACGTTTGGAAGTGGTTGGTCGTCTCGGGAGGGAGAGCGAGAGAGATATTATGGGAGCGGCGCAGGGAGATTTCGGTGGCGTGTGTATTCGGTTTCACCTGTCACGTCTCCACTCCATCATTAGGCGGACAATGCGCGCCGGAGTTCCACCCCTTTTCAAAACGGCAGATTACCACCGCCTCCGTCCAACGGCTCCCTGTCACCCATTGTCTCTCACTTGCCCGAGCATCCGGGTTTTGCAAAATCCTCTCCGGCCCTCCCTCTTCCTCCCTTTCCGCCTCTATACTTTTGCAGGAGGTGCGCCGCGCGGTTTCCCTCGGGTTTACGCGAGCCCGATAGATAGAATCTTGCTCGTGGCCCGTTACCGGATTAACTTATAATCGTAAGGCGGAATGCGAGGGCCAATTATCGATGCCTTTGGAGGCACACGACGAGTTGCGCGGAAACGAGGCAGCGGAATCGGCGTTGGTCGTCAAAGTATCGGGCGTATCTGTCGGCAATCGGTCGATCGAATCGAGCGACGCTCGTTCCAAGCGTTTCCGCGCCGCGAGGCAATTATCCTTTGCGAACGTTTAAGCGAAAACCAGTCGCGAATACTAATGCCACGCGGCGTCCGGGATCGGCCCTCGAAATCTCCGCGGAGACATCGGGAAGAGAAAAGGCGAGAGGAAATAGCGGAGGAAAGCAGGGCTGCTGGGAGGCAGAGAGGTGGGCAGAGGAAACGGGAGAGAAAAGGGAGAGAAAAGGGAGAGACAGGCGCATCGTGGCGCACGGGCTTGAGAAGGGGTTATACGCGTTAAGCTCGGCTCGCCGTGGTTCCCATGGATTCCAGCCGGGTATCTTCGGCGCGGATCGACACGCGGACGAACGGACGGACGGACGGACGGAACGAAAAGACGCAGTCCGGGAGAAGCAACCTGCCACCGCCCGCGTATCTTCCGATGCATCGCCTCACCTTTCAGTGCGTATTTAAACGATACGATAGTTTTATACGAGCGATCTGATATCGAGGTTCGAGAGCGAAAGGCCCCGGCTCGAGCTACTGCCTCCGAGCTTGTAGTGCCTCTTGCCTGCCTTTTGCCTCATGCCCGCTACGCCGTTCTCTCGATCGCGATTCTCTCTTCCTTCTTCTTCTTCCACCGCATCTTTTTCAATCTCTCTCGTGTTACTTCCGGATCCACGCGATTCTTTCCACTCACCCTATATCCGATGGCTTGGATATATTTGAAAGAGTAGAGTGATTCGTAACGAAAGATTGGTGGCGGAGAAAAGGTAAAAGGGCGTAGCGTGGAGGGCCGGGAATGTTCGAGGCGGAGAGGAGCAGCAGGTAATATAAATCACTTGGAATCAATTAGACACGAGGGATCGCGAGCCGATGATCTTGCAGTACCGTGCTGCCAGGTGCACGGTGTGCCCATCGTCTCGGGTCGTCCCGACGGCTCAGCCAATTATCAGCATTCCGGGGCATTATCCTCGGAGCGAGACTTACGCCGTGTTTAATTGCGAGTGGTCTTCTTCTTCTTCTTCTTCTTCTTCCTCCTCTTCTTCATTCCTCATCCTGCCTGCAACTCCTCTCTCGTTCTTGCGCCGTTTCTGATTTTCGCGTTTACTCGCGAAGCAACGCGTCTCTCACCGGGAGAACAGTATTCGATTGAGCTTTGAGAAGGACAGTTAAACGGCGAGGAGAAACGACAAGAAAAGGGGGACGACGTTGTTCGTCATCGTACCTCTCTCTCTCTCTCTCCTCTCTCTTTGGATTCATCGCGCGGTATTTATCCGAGAGCTGCCGTTGCCCTTTTTGCGACACAGCTCGTTTAACGGGACACGCGTAACTCTTGTCCACGGGTCACGATGAAATGCAACGACGCGATCGCCTTAAACGGATGACGCGGTGTATAGGGGATAGACGAACGAACGAACGAACGAACGAGCGAAGGAGTGACGTTGGTTATAAAAGGGAGCAATTGGAGGGGATCGATTTGTCGGGACCAACATCAGCGTAAAATCGCGAAATGGCTGATTTATGGAATCGAGAGCGCAAGAGGATCGCGGCGGAAGCTGCGCGCGGCTCCGCGACAAATCCCTCGTAAATCGCGCGGTGATTAATCGGTCCGGTGGATTATGTAAGCGTGCAATTTGCGACGGTGCATCGCTCGCCGCCATTGTAGGAATTATGTCGCGGGCACGGCCGATCGACGCGGGCAGATAGCATCGATCGGTCTCGCCGGGTGATTTGTTTGCTCGACTCGCGATTTATCGCGCTGCACGCGGCGATTCGTGCGCAATAGATCGCCTGCCCGTTTCGATCGATCGACTCGCCTCCGTAAATCCGTTCTTTCGAATCGAATTGCCTTCTGGACCGGATACCGCTTTTCATCCGGTCTCCGCTCTAATTGCGGATGATCCCCGTAAAGAGGCCACGGACGCGGAGAAAGGTAAAGGGAGGGACAAGAGAGAGGATAAATGGCGGGAAGGGGCCGTAAATAAAGAGGAGAATATCGAATGAGAAAAGAGGCACGGGGATACGGCGTTTAGTTAACCCCCGTGCGTGTATAGGAGATCGTACCAGAGAAACCTTTCCAATAAATACAGCGAGAACGGACGCATGAATGCCAGCAAAAATCGCCCAATGACCAATTGCGGCAACGGCCACTCGCCTTTTCCCGAGATTCCGCGAGATTTTTCAACGGTTCACCGTATCACCGCTGGATTCTCTTTTCTCGCGTGGAATTTCTTCTTCGTCCCGTCTCGCTCTCTCCCTTTCGCTCCAGCGCCAGTCCTCGCCGTCGTGCTCTCGTACTTCGCCACAGCCGAACCGACCGACCGACCGACCGACCAACCAACCAACCAACCAACCTCCACTCCGAGATACCGCGGTAATTACGGCGAATCGTCTATCCGTCCCTTTCTCTTCTCTCTATCTTTTTATCACCGCTCTCCAGCGAGACGCTGCAGCACGAGATCTAGACCGCGGATGCGGGGATTCGAGGGTCGTCGCGCGGCGGAATTCGCGGGGAAAAGCAGCGACGAACCAGAGTTTCGAGGCGAAGAACGAAGAAGGGGATACTAAGAGCGGTCTGTCCTCCTCGTGGAACGGAGAGAACGCAAAGAGGATATGGAAGTTCTCGTTTTCTCTCCGTGCTCTTCTTCCCTCCGGCGTTCCCTCCGGTGTTCCCTTCGGGCAACGTAAAATCGAGCGAGCATTCAAATGTCACCGGCGAACGGGCTGAGTCTAACAGAATAACAGATCTGTCCCGGTGTTCCGTCTCCCTCCTTTCGCCTCCTTTCACCCTTTCTCCGGCTACCGATCCAAGTTAAGGCCACGGTAGCCGAGATACAATAAACGTACGGGACATTAAACTGTTTGCTATTGTCAACCCTTTGTGGAAGATACCGGCTCCTCGCGATGCACACGAGTCCTTCTTCCCTCCTTCTTCCCTTCCTGTACGGTCCTTTGGGAAAGTACCTTTATTTCGTATCGATATTCGCTACCATTACTTTACCACCAAACAACCTTTCGCCTTCGCCTTCGCCTTCGCCTTCGCCGTGCAATTAGCCCGACGATTCGCTCTCTGGATACATGGGAACGAGAGGAAGAACCGGTAGTGCGTATTAGTCAGCTCGATTCTTTACAACGGCATAGTGAATCGAGAACGCGGATCGGTATGTGCAGGTCGTAAAGCAACGGACAATGGAGAAGCGTCAAGAAGGAGGAAAGAATCGAGGATGACGAGCAAAAAGAGTACGGGGTTCTCGATGACAGTGGACACCAGAGGCGTCGCTTTAGTCACGGGCAATTTCCTTCCTCCGCCGTTCGAAGCGAGAAAAATTCGGCTTTCCCTTTTCAACCGTAGGACACGCTTCCCCCATAATCGTCGCTCATGGCTCGTGTATTGTCGTTTCCTGCGGCGAGGGTGCCGAGCTACCACCTCGTCTTCGTCGTCGTCGTGAAAATGGTTCCGCCACGGACCCTATCTACACCGTGTCAATTGCGTTCCATGCAATTCCACCGACAATAACTGAAATCACAACTAAATTCGA